TAGTGGAGAATGGAAAAGGAGACTGTTGTCGGAGAGTGGAAAATGAAAAGGAGACTGTTGTCGGAGACTAAATAGAATGGATCCGTAATATATGTGCTCTCAAAATATCAGAGAAGACTAGTAACGTTATAGGCTCTCGGTCCAGCACATGGCTGGAACGTATGAGCACATTCTCTATGCGTTTGTTACGTAAATCTTAGGGTCAAATGTCATTATGTGTCAAGTGCATGGCAGCCCGTTACACAAGCTCGGGTCATGACTTGCCATGAAGTATACCCTTTCACGTCGATAATGCAAATAATAGGCTTTTGATTCTGTACAGCTTATGCGACGTTGCGCGTTTCGACGTCATCGCCATGTCTCTCACAGAAAATGATACATTAATTGCAGCGGGGCTGCCGTGGCTCTTTGCTAAGAGGAAGCTAAGCTAAGGTAACCGACCATACGTTTATTCCAGGAGCCAATACAAGTGTAGCGGATCGCAGTCCGCTACCTTCAAGTAATAAAGCTTTAACCAAGGCAAACGAACACTTCTGTTCAAAATTGAAATTGTATTTAATTTTTGTAGTTTCGACAGAGCCGCTAATATCTAAAACCCTTGGTTTTCCTTATTAAGATAGTAATACCTAATTAATATAGTAAAACCTATTTGATATAGTAATATGTAATTACTACTGGCAATCCTGCCACGTGGTGGCTTCTTGTTATGGTGTAGCTTGACCTCTGTGTGATACAACTAACTTGTGTAATGCACACCTATGTACGGTCACACAATTTTGTGCGACCCGCCCTTTCTCACAAGGGCACATGTAACCCCGTTACATTAATATTCCATTTTGTAGAGTGTCCATTTGAAAAAGTTTACGCTTAGGTCGTCTTATTATGGTGGCATATGCTCTTTCGCATCACCTGACCTCATATGTCGCATGTCATATTGGTGACGTAGTAAAAAATTAAAGATATTTTAGATATAAATTACATTTAATGTTTGTGACATTTTTCTTTGATCGCAAATGATCTCATATCATGTGATTGCAACATTGGCCTCCAGATATTGTACTGCATATGTAACGGGTTTACACGTACACTGGTAACAGGGGTATGTGTCACACGAGATGGGCATGGTGTGACTGAACTCGAATAAGAATACGGTACGTGACTGGGTAGCCAGTAGTTATGCATGTATTTAGATTTTACTATATATTTCTGGGAAAATCTATTAATTTAAAATTAGGCGGCTTTGCCGCAGATAAAAACAAATAAATGCAGTATACATTTAAAACTGAAGAGTTTATTAGCCTTAATAAAGGTACTAACTACCCTTGGAGGTAGCGGATTGCGATCCGCTACACTCGTACTGGTTCTTGTGAAGAACGTAAGGTCGGTGACCTAAATTTTGCTTCCTTAAAGCGCAAAGCTACGGCAGCCCCGCTGCAGCATATCTAGATAGGCAAAAAGTAAAACATTCCCCCTCTACCCATTTAAATTAGTGTGCAGTCTCCTTCCGCAACCAGTGAGTTGCTCATTCATACCTATAATCTCAGACATAGTGTCGCGCACACTGCGGCTTATTCCCGATCTCATCGTACAGAATCCAAGAATTTTGCTACGAATTGAAGCCGGGATGATATTGACAAGGCGAATTAAATCCTTCCTCAACAAAGATTGATTCCACTCTGTTGGGATGTAAAACAAAAATCGCGGATAACCAAACCATATATCAAAATGGAGTAAGCTCTGTAGAGGACACACTGAGTAAATTCATGCAAGCCCCGTTGTTTATAGCAGCACGTTTCAGAATTTTATTGCTTCGCATAAGTAACTTTATTTGTTTGACCAAGGGTCTTTCGAATCATGAGTCTACGGTCATGTGCACCTTTCACCGAAGCCACGGTTTGGGAAGCACGATCATGTATACGACAATGACCACCGGTAAGTCCTTTTGAAAAATGTGAGAAACATTTTGGCTCTACCTTCTCCGATTTAGGAAAGCTGACACCAGCGAGATGAGTAATCTTGGCCAGGTGGTCCGCGAAAGTCACAATCATAACAGTTATGACAGGTAGTTCAAGGACACTGTCGCAAGCAGATTTGTTTTAACTGTTGACGCGTTTCGCACGCGCACATACATGTGCTAGTCCACTTTGCATCTGGGTCATTTTTACGTTGATCAAACCGAGCAATTTATCTAAGTGGTTTGCTCAAGAGTTTCGTGTGCTTTATAAAGTATTCTGCTCTTGGGATCCACATTACGACGCACCACTGCACGCATAGCGTCGTGGAAGTCAGTGTAGAATAGGGTAGTCATAGTGGAAATCGATAAAATGAACTCTACGGTATGGTGTTTCTACATGCAAACGTGACATTTTAAATTGAGATGCAAATATACCATTCCAAAAGAAAGTGCATACAAGTCCTGTGTTCTAAGTGTGCTTACTAAAAATCATACAATCCAGCTCTTGCGAGCATGTCGACTTTCAAGACTATTTTAGCAGTCCGTCACCGCTGTAACCGAGCGATTCTCTCGTCCAAAGCGGCGACAAAATTCTGAATCATTGGAGACAGGCGGTCTACTACACAGATAGTGCATCCGCTGTACTTTGGCGAACACCAAAGATCTTGTGGAAAGTCAACGTACTCACGAGAGCCAGCAGCAGACGGGTTTCCCGGGTTAATGTATCAGTTTTGTAGTCTCGTGTGGATACACTGGGCTATCACCCGTATCTTGTGACATAGAGGAAATGCTCTCACTACAGCCTCACGTAAATATGCGGTGCCGTCTTGTTAAGATGGCTCGGGAACCGTTACTTTGTATGACCAGTTGCATTCTCGTTCTCTTATTCTAGAAAGGCCGTAGCGCTGCCCGTCGCTGCGCGCTTCATACCAAAACGTGGAGACCGACCTTGTTGCACTACTTAGTTGATACCCGTTTTATTAATCTCATGAAGACGATTAAAGCAAGAATCGGAGATGAGATACTTCCGATTCGAATTCGCATCGTGCCTTGTACTTCACATAGACTTAATTGGCGCGTGAGCTAGATAATGCTGACTTGCAGTGCTTTAGAACGGGTGAGAAGACGCACCATCGTCACCTAATACCTGAATCTCCCGCAGCTTTGCAGCATTGTACTAACGCTATGATGTCGTGGTCCATGAATGACCAATAGTACCAAGTTTGTGCGGCCAATCGCGTGCAATGAATATTGGAATAAGCTATGATCGCGGAGTCCTGAAAATTGTTAATCACGTCAAGTCTAAACTTCGGCGTGTTTGGAACACAAAAACGGCAAAAAAATATTCGGAATCGATGATTAAATTATCGATTGCTTTGATTTGCTTATCTTTCTCGGCTCCAGACCAGATCTGGCGTGCGACATATCGCTCGCGTATGCTTGGTTAAAGCTGCTCAACTGCTTGACACAAAGGAAATTACTCAGAGGTCTTTGAGTTGAAAGAGACAACAGTAAACGTTGACAATGTTTTTCATGAGCACAATTGTCATGACGCACACTTTTGACCATTGACATGCGTAATGTTTTGGGCAGCAGCTGTGGATCGTCGCTTGCCGTCCTCAAAGAATCGGACTCTGTGGACGCAAGGGCGCATCATCGGCAATGTTGTGTCGGTCAGGGCGGCGATTAAGAGCGATTTGGTACGCGAAGACTTGGCAAAATATGTTGTTTCCAAAGAAACCACTTGCATGTGAATTATCGGTGTAAATGTCGAACTCTGTGCGTAGGGTATATTCTCTCCAGCGACGAAGAGTAAACTTGATGAAAAAATGGCTTCTTGAACAAGCTATCTTAATTCAGTGGCGCTCAACTTCGTTGTTGGGGGGCTACCAAATCGTCAGACCATTCTTCTTGTATAAGCTTCGAGAGGTAGCGCGACTTTGACAAGGTTGTTTATGGATCAGCGCTTACTCAATGTTCTGGGTGTCTTCTAACGCTATGGTCACTCTCTTGTGGAACTTTCTGGCGGTTTTCGTTTAGTATAATTGAACTCTCACTGTGTTGCTGTAATACTTGACAGATGCTATGACAACGTTTCGAACGTTCATTGTCTGCTTGTCTGGATTCATGCAGATACAAGTCTTTAGGCCCTTGTTATCAGTCTTTGTTCAACTATTATCCATAGTTTTATTGACACAGACTACAAAATAAAGAATTGAATAGCTCTTGAAACAGTCGCACGGACGTGTAGTCGGATAAAAGGACCAGCTTTAGCTGGACAGTTGGTGACGAACGGCAGGAGTAAATCTCACATACATTAATGTTGTTAGCTTTCCAAACATTTGGCATTGAAGACATCTCAAATCAATAGCAGAACCGATCCCGCGGTGCAGTGGGATGCTGTTCACTTCAGAACCGGAGGTTCGGGGTTCAATTCTCGGACCGGGTAGAGTGGGGTTAAAGTGTAAAGAATAAAACCCTACAGCATGTGCTTGACATGACTTACACGACTCCTAAAAATGGGTGACATTCTAAAATTATTCAAAGCAATGGAAAAAATTAATGAGGTTTGATACGGATGACCTTCTACAATAAACCGCTGGGTACTTTGCGGTAATTACCAGGTTAGCTGCTAGGCTTGCTCACAGTATTATTTCGACCACTTGATTAAAAAAAATGGTAAAGAGATAATAAGTACGGACTCCGCAAGGAAAATTAGTCACAAACTGTTGTACTTGGGGATACGTTGGAGCGGGAGAAAATAAGACGGCGTGCTCGGCGGCAGAGGTATCGAAAGCGACTTAGAAACAGAACGCGCTTGCTGTTGTCGATGCTGAAATTAACGTTTGTAGCTTGGGCATGAACGTAGACGGCGGAAACGAAAGCGGTTGAATTGGACTTCAAGTGCTACCAAATTTAGCGGTCGGAGGTAAGTCGTGATGTCTTGAGTGGAAAAAGTAGAGTGATATTGATCGCTCTTTACATATAAATACTTAAGATGATGTTTCCTGGTTCTGATATTTGTTTTCTCTTCTAGACTCTATGCTGTTCTCTATCGACGGCTAATGACAGAAGTACAAGGTAATTAGTAATTTAACTAGCGCAAACACAACAATGGTTGTGGTTCTAGCATTTCAAATCTTAATTTTGAAGGTATTGTTCGAGGAACGTTGCATAGGTGTCTTGTTAGAGTGGGATCCATTCAACTACGAATAACAAGTTGGCGGTACTACCACCCAAGCTGATTTTTCGTATGCTGTTGAATTCGTCCTATATGTTGATGGAATCGGATTTGACGAAGCGAAATTTGACTGATAAAAATTGTACTGAAGTTGACCTATGACTGAATCCTAGAACAGCATGTATTCCTTCGTTCAGTCGCCTTAGTGCAGTAGTATATATCAATAACACGAAAATTGAATAGTTTGACAGCCATAACCAATTTTGGGTTAGCTTTGAATTTAGAAACGCACATAACAGTGGCTGTGTTCAAAAGATATTTCAGACAGGTAAATTAGAAAGATATAAAGAAGCTGAACTGCCTCTTGTAATTAATTACCTTGGTAGCTTCTTTTGAGTGAAGTGGTAATATAAATGCCATTTAACTTGAAATAGTTATTAAACTAGACAGATACAAAAACTGAGGTGAACTAAAGTAGTGTGTTTGTCAGATTTAGTAACATATAATTCATAGTTCTTAACCTCTCGGAATTGTTTCAAATATGGAAAAAGCCTACGAAGATGAGCTAATCGATGCCTTTGACGCCACGGAACCTAATGCTTTGATGCGTGCAGAAGATTCTCTTGTCTTACCGCAGTCAAGAAAATTTACTTTTGGACAAATGGTGCACCCCAATGATATTTCGTCGCCATATCCAACGCTCAATAAAACTATCGGGACGCAGCGTCAAATAGACAAGAGGCAACATGATCCTCTACAAGTAGATCAAGATGATCTCATGACAGAGGAAGAAATGCAGAGAAATAGGGAGCGAATTGATCGTGATGTGCGTACGTATCAACAGCGATTTGATCATGTGGCTCAGGCGCTTGCGAGGGAAACGCCGCATCAGCTTCAGGAGCGCAGAATGCGCAAAGAGGAACGATTAAAGAAGCAAGAGCAGCGTTATGAAGATATGAGGAGGCGCTTGCAGCGTGACGTTGATCGTTTAGAAGAGAGGGAAAAGAGACAGGCTCGGATAATGAGGCGACATCATGTGAGCAGAAGCACATCTCCCAGTGGTGACAACGAGGGTCATAGCAGCATCGTAAACGATATTTGACTGGGCAAAGGCGCAACGACTGAATCGCTTAACTAGAACTTGTAGATAATTATGAAAGTGACAACGGATTAGTTTCGCGGATCAGGTAAGCATGCGACTCTGGATCGTCTTTTAGCAATGGCAACAACTTGTCATGCACGACTTTATGGTACGCGTCGACCCACTCAATCTCCGTAGGTGTAAGTAGACTCACGTCGATGAGTTTTTGTTGGATAGGAGCCATCGTAAGGGTCTCAAACTCACAGAAATCGCGTTCGAGTGGACTTTTGACACGCGATGCCTGGTATGTTAAGTCATAGCACTAATAAGTCAATTGCGCGAGGCACCCAATCACGATAAAAAACCAGATTAGCTTGTAAATACCTTTTTGGCAACCATGACACTTTCAATACGAATGCCAAATTTGTTGTCTTCATAGTATCCAGGCTCATTGCTGATGATCATGCCATCTTGGATCTTTAAACCGTTCGGGTTCAAACGAAATGATAATAACTATAGGCAATACGACACAAGTGGTAATCAAATACTAGGCAGTAAGAAAACAATATTAAGATTCTACTCACAACACCCTTTTCATGCACGTTTAGAAATGCACCAACACCATGACCTGTTCCATGGCGATAATCGAGACCAGCCTGCCACAGTGGCGCACGCGCGATAGCGTCAAGTCGAACGCCTTCGATTTTGTCCGGAAAGACAGTACTTGCAAGAGCAATATGTCCCTTCAGGACGTGTGTAAAGCAAGCTTTCTCATAAGCCGAAGGTTGTCCAAAATGCAACGTTCGGGTCACATCAGTCGTGCCGTCCAAATATTGAGCACCAGAATCGTTCAGGTACATGGCAGACGTCGACATTTTTGCACACTCACCACGCTTAGGCGAGTAGTGGATAATAGATCCATTGGCGCCAATCGATGAGATGGTATCAAAGCTTAGCGACACATAGTTCTTCATCTGCTTTCGAAAGTGTTCTTGCTTGTCAGCGACGAGCACTTCGTCCCATTGGTCCTCGTTGCCAGATTCCATTTCATTTTCAAGCCAGCTAAAAAATTTGACCAGAGCAGCACCATCGCGGACGTGTGCCTGACGCATACCTTCAATCTCCACCGCGCTTTTGATCGCCTTTTGCTCCAAAATAATCGACGTGTCTTCTTTGCGATTAGCAGGTGGTATAGCCAGAAACATAGCAACGTTACATTGTGCAGGATCTACCAGAATTTTCATGTTTCTATTCGCGGCAACAAAAGTTGAGACTTCGTTAAACACATCAGAATAGGGTTTGATTCTTACGCCACTTGAACCCAAGTGTTGTGTCACTTCGCTCTGGTTGGCTGCGTTTAAGAATAAAGTGGCCTCGTCCGATGTCACGACTGCGTATGATGTACTGCAAAATCAGAACATTAGAAAAAGACATTGCAAAATACAAAAAATGTAGCTATCTTACACAACGGGGTTGAAATCGACATCGTTGCCGCGGATATTAAAGAGCCACGCAATATCGTCTAGCGCCGTAAGGATAATGGCGTCAGCTCCTTTGTCTTTCACACATTTTCTCAAGTTCTTAAGCTTGTCGTTAACAGAGCGCCCTGTATACTCGTCCGAAAGAAAAGTGACTTGAGAAGAACTTACACTTGGACGACCATTCCAGATGAGATCGACGAGATTTTCGGACTCGTGTAATGCGACCAACTCAATCTTCGTATCTTTTAGTTCCTTTGCGAACTTTCTGGCTGCTTGAACTGAAGTTAAATGAGGATCGATGGCAAGACAACTATCATCAGGCAAATTCTGCTTGGTCCACTGCTCGATAGAGGGCACACCCGGTTCTTCGCTCTTCATGAGCGTCCAGTCATCACTCAGCTCCTGCTCTGCTTGCAAAAAGTATCGCCCATCGGTCCACAAAAGAGCTTGATTGGGCGTCACAAGGGCTGTGCCGTTAGATCCCGTAAAGCCTGTAAGGAACTCACGTCGTTTGTGTGCATTCCCCACGTACTCACTCTGATGCGCATCGGCCGTGTCAACCACAAAAGCTTGAAATGACCGACTTATGAATTCTTTTGACCCATTTCCCTTTGTCTTGCCCAGTAGGTAACGAAGCGGTAGCAGGGGCACAGTCGTGCGGTTCATGAGAGAGCGTAACTCGCATAGCTTCTCGGAGGCCAGCATGTTTGATACTTTGATTACCAACACAAGAAAAAGTATAGAAAGAAGGGTCAATAAATAGGTATTGCTCTCATTTTCTTGCCTAGAATATGTGACATTATAATACGGCACAGGAAGTCTTGGAGTGGTCTCGAGGCGTCAGAATCTGATCCTTAGCCTGTGGGTACGGAATGGTTTCCGGCTCGTGCTCAATGCTCCATCCTGTGCGCAAGGCAATTTCGTCAGCCAACAGCTTGGCAATCTTAACGTGGCCGCTAACAGAATACTGCATCATGGACGCATAATCTTCCTTGACGAAACCCTCTTCTACCTGTCCACGACAAATTAGTACTGAGTAGAGTTCCTTTCAGCTCTTTGTACCTTAATGAAGGTATAGTGCATCTTGTTGTCCTGCTTTCCGACTTGAGAAATGGCCACCCTGACAATCTCTTGCAGCTGAAGCGACACAAACTTACGATTCGTGTCAGAATCCTCTAAACTTATGCAACCATCGTCATACACCATGCAGAAAATGTGCGCGTCCGGGCGATCTACAAACCAAAGTTAGTATACTCCTACCTAAAACGAATAAGGTCTAGTATATCTCTTACAAGAACGCACTTCTAACAAAAACATCGCATAGCCAGTTATCAGGTCTGTCTCGGCTGATGCAGGAGGCGATAAATCATTTATGCCAAGATTTATCACTACGACGTCAGGTATCCAGCTGGACATATCCCAATCCCCGGGTCGAGATGCAAGGGTGTTTTTCCACAAGGCAGGCATATTTGGTCCCCAATCTGCAGAGTTGCTGTGTACACCTTTCCTTTACGTCAAAACCCATTAGCGGCACTGAAGATTTTCAAGAAACAAATGACAAAGGTACCCGCTCCAAGCCAAAACATGTTCTTCTGCGTCAAACATACGCGCAGTAATACACGCGTAGCCGTTATAAACGTTTTCCATGCGGCCTTTCATACCAAACAAGTTCTTGGCACTGCTTACTTTTCCCTCGTTGCCAAAGCCGCATGTATCCGAATCGCCAATAAATTCCATTTTGCGTATAGGTTGAGGCTCTGGTTGATCCACAGGCAGGACCTCCGCATTCTCTTCAATAATAAATCCATAAAATGTGCAAACCTATGCCGGAGCAAGCAATACAGTTCTAGTTTAATAATTAGACCGTCGCATTGCAAGTATATAACCTTAAATGTAGACATCGCTCCTCGCATCTGTGGCTCAGTCCGCTTGCATATTTTGATCATTTGCTCCTGCTGGACGTTCAGGTTCGTCGCCACTGTATTACCAAATCAACAGCCATCAGCAGTTGCGGCGATAATCTCATCTAATATGTTATACCATCGCAACAAGTTGCATTCAGTGACGCGCGAAGAATACAGTGCAGTTTGCCGTTCACGAACACGTTAAAATAGTTGCCTAGTGTATTGCCCAAAAAAGTAGCATTAGAGCTATTCAATCATAACAGGATTTTCGCCGGCAATAGGTCGGACGTCGGACCAAAATGAGATTGAAGCGTGAGTTTCTCCGAATAGTTCCCAAATTTTGTCAACTCATCTCAAGATTGAACCGATTGCCTTTTGCGAATTACAGGCACGTACCATCACCTTTAAGTCGTACTGCGACGCTTTTGGAGCCTCGTACCGAAATTTGAATAGCTACAGCGGGCCAATCAAACTGTACCGTGTTGATCTTAGTCTTCCGAGAAGAGTGTGCACCGTGGTGCAGCACGCGGCCGGTGTACTTAATGAGGTCACTTGCACAGGCCGGTATAAAGCGAAACGATCCGTCCTTATAATGCGCCACGTCAAACTTATACACGTTCGGCGAGGCATCCGCCGGTTCGTCGTCGTCACCTACGGACGTTCCACGAGAGAAGGCAAACCCGCGTATATTTGACATACTTGCGCGCGAATAGGATCGGGGCAGCGGCGACACCGGAGAAGTTGGCGCAAGGTTCTTTTCTTCTCGACTGTCTCCATTATCCATCCGGTTCGAACGGTGTCGCGTCAGCCAACGTTCTCGTGAGGAGGACGACTGTTCCTCCTCCATTTACTACACTATGACATTTAATTTGATGCACAAGAGCAAAATGCGTAATCGTTTCAGAATTATAGTAATTTTATGACATTAGAAGGGGTAAAATTGCGGATCAAAACGATACTTTAGCGCATCAACTTGTCGGGTAGTATGATGCTACAACCATTTGACAATGCCCGAAGATGTCTCTACAGCATTACGCAGTTTGTTAGTCTCATGCATGCTTATTTTAGATCCGCTACAGTCACACTTGCCTTGGCGTCAGGCCAGCGCTTTTTCGACAACTCAAGTAAGCGCAGGCTGCGATATTCATTCCATGTGGTCTGTAGCATTATAAACAAAATCAGTAAAGCATTCAATCGAGCAAGTTGCATTTCCTACCGTATCCGCTTGTTTCTGAGCAACTTCTTTTTCACTTCGGTACTTAGGGGCGACGTCGAACAATTCGCTCACGACGTCTGGCTGCAAACCCATTTCCTGCAATCGCATATGGTCAAATAAAAGCACTTCTACCAATGACTCTGCGATAATGCAACACTTGGATGACGAATGGGTTGGACCGAGAAAACGCGATTCTCCGAACACAGCGGGAGCAACGCATTTCTGAACGAGCGCATTTTTCTTATAGAATCGATTTTTTTTCTTCTGACGAGATACAGGCAACGATACAAAGGAAGGTGAGCCTGTGTTTAACGACTTGAGAAGCGGTGGCATCTGAGATAAAAGGAATCCATCGCGACGTCCACGGCGGTATTTGCGAGCTCGTGTTCGAGTCTGAAAACCCAGTGGCCAATGAGGCTTGGCAATTAAGTGGTGAAATGGCAGTGAGAATTGTTCAATATCTTTATTCAGCTGACGTCGATATATTGTTCTCCCAGTTTCTGTGTCGCTGTCACTACTATCGTCACTGTCTGAATCGCTACCTGTTTCGTCGCTGTCCTCCACTTTTCGATCATCTCGATCGGAGCTTTGTCGCGCACTTCGACGACTAAGTGGTGCATTATTAAAATTCTGGTACACTGAACAACTTCCCTTCCACAAAACGATTAGAAAACGCGGCTGCTCGTTTTGTTCAAGTAAAATTTCGCCTTTGCGATACCGTTTTCGTTCCGATATCCCTACAATATGACCAAGTTCGCTTGTGGGTAGCAGACGGAATCCACGTAATTGCTGTAAGAAAGCAAAAATGTCGTGGTTTATCTGGGATGTCACGGCTCGAATCGTCGCTTCGTATACATCTGGCCACAAAATTCCAATTTCAGCGCTTTCGTCAGCAATGAGTGACGCTTGGGTCGATATAGTAAAGCCAGCACATCCAAAAACTGAGCCAGTCCCAAGATGATGAGTTGTCACGGTCGAATTAAAATCGGTGACACCGAATTGTCGGCGGATGCTAAGTCTTCCTTCCAAAAGCACATAAAAGTTTTGAGAATGCATTTCTCCCAACACGAAACGCTTGCCGCAAGCAATTACATCATAGTCCATGGATTGTGCTACTCGTACTAGCATTTCATGTGGAAAGTCTTGAAAAAACAAAAGCGTTTGCAGTCTAGCAACGATTGCACTCAGCATCTGGCCACAGCGCTCTGTTGGTGGACACGCCAATGCCAGCTTGTCTGGGGTGGGCTTTCCAAACAAATGCGCGTAAAGTCCGTCCTCAAGTTCACTCGTACTGAGCGCCCCTTTATTATGTCGCAGGACATATGAGGAGGGCGGTGAATCTGACATTGTGTCCTGGTTACTTAGCGTACTTTCGGAAGTATAGAGAGTACTCCGGACAAATAATGGTCCAGACACAGACTTAAAATTAATTTCACGTCTGTCGTATTCGCTCTGTGCTTGTGCATAGTGCCCCATCCGCCGATAAATTAGTCCACGATTCTGCAAATATTTATCGTTATGTGGCTCAACTGTCAAAGCCTGTGATAGTGCTTCTAAGGCAAGAGCATCTTTGCCAAGCTTCAGTCGGGCTACACTAAGATTGAAAAGAGCTTCATGCATCGAAGGGTCAATCTGAAGACATGCGAGAAAATCCGCTTCAGCCCGCGCATGATTTCCACAAATATCGTACAGAGCTCCTCGAAGTAGTCGTGCTAGCTTTTCCAATGTTAAATTTGGACTTCCTAGCGCACGATCACAATGCAAAAGGGCCTCATCATATCGCTGCTCACAGTACAGCATGTAAGCTTTCCCTATTAAAAGGTCACGCCCTTGTGCACGCGGATCAATGACAACGCAGTGATTTAGCAAGGGGTCTTGGGGTACTGGCCCAGATGGTCCCGTAACATACTTCTGCTCATAAAGATGTCGACCGATTCGCGTCTGTAGTTCATGTGGCCGTGTGTATATCAGCTTACTCAATTGCTTTGGAGAGGGCAACGGGGGTATGGTCTTTGTCACAGTTAATTGTCCTTCACCAGGAGACAAAGATGAATTGCACCTTGACAATGGCGTTGCTGTTATTTCTGAAGATGCAGGATTTGATTTAAGATGAACGCCAAGAACAGAATGTGGGATGGACTCGCGAGTTGTTTGTAGTGCCTCCAGTTGCCTAAGACACTGTTTTCGTTGGTTAAGACTGAGCTCCAGTAGCATTTTTGGTCGGTCGAATGTCACTGTACTCGGTCGAGCAGATGGTGCTTCAGTCATTGGCAGTCGCTTCATCCCAGGAGCCGATCCCGTCGTAACCGTCCGTGTTTTCGTAGCGTGTAAAAGCTCGTGTTGCTCTACTTGCGGTGATACCGATGGAATATGACTAGAAGCTCTACTCTTCTGGTCTTCTTGAGCCATTTCGCGACACCGCGAGAGCTCATTCTGTACAAGAGTAACCGATCGCAAGATTTTGGCAATCCGATCAGTCATCACGTCGGATCCAAGTCCTTCTTCAAAAAAACCACATACTCCCCCCTGCTGGAGTGCCCGAGCCAGCAGCTTTTGCACTTCATGATCAGTATCGAAAGAAGTAGCAACAATTGCCGCTACCGGTGTTCGGAAACACATACGCTTCATTTCTTGCAGAAAAGTGAGTGCTGAACTGGTTGCTGCTGTTTGGTCATGTCCAATTTCAAGCCTTAACAAGGTAAGATTTATCTGGAATAGCGCTATCAACGCAAATGCCCGTTCATTGTTTGGCGCGACGAAGATTTCAAATCGCTGCTCAAGCTCATCAGCAAGGTTTTCACGTCGCATCATTTCTGGATCCACCAGCAAAATGCGATAGTGACTTTTCGTAAAAGGATCAAGGACTACTGACCGTTTGTCAAGACCATGCTGAAAGCCTCTCGTCCGTCGATCAACTTGCAGGGCTCGACTTTTCTTGATTTTTGTCAAAAATCGTTTGCCGGCTGTCGTAAATTGCGTGTTAAAGATCGCTTCATTAGGGCGTGATCTGGGTTGCTCAGCGCTATTTGGTTGAGAATTCAGAGGGGACTTTGTCGCTTTTGCCCCTGCCCGTAGCTTGGCGGCAAACGCACTGGACATCATATTGAACGATCTGAATGACGCAGCGACCCTAGACCTCTATGGATGAGTGCGAATAACTTTCAAAAACACTAAGAATAGCTGGCTAGCAAAAATGAGACGGTTAATGGATTTTGTCCCCGCATAAGGATATATCATGATCACCTTGCAAAACTGTCAGTATGATATTGGAACGGTCAGCCATGGTAACACGCACCTCAAATATTGAAAATAGTAAACAACATCTTGTGTGAAGGTTGCGCAGGAACCTGGACGGTCACGTGTAAGACAACTTTGTCTTAACAAAAAGCTCTTTCATTATTCAAGCAATGCTTGACTTGATATATTTGCAGCCACCAATATAAAGCTTCCTGCTTCCGATCGCATTTGAAGGCTCTGTCGCCGAATTAGTCACTCTGCGCGTCATGTTGAGTAAATGTTTGCTTGTTGACTAACAACAACATACAGATGAGATTTTGCCATTGCACAGCCACAAGTCCCATCAATTACAAGGACATCTGTCTGGGTATGTCACCGACTCCAAACCAGGCCAAACGGCACGTTGAGAAAGTGGAGAGATTACATGTCCATACGCTCCATGCAAAAGGTTTCATCTATTGAAACGCACCCTCTTAAGATTTTGGTGATCATGCCTTGTTAGATTACCGATAATTTCGGATTTGGATCATAATAGCTACCCTGTGGAATCGTTGAGACATCAGTCGACATTGCCTGGCGCTAATCATAGTGGTCTTTGAACGCTGTTGGTTTGAATTTAGGTAATGAGAAATCAATCGACAGTCTGGAACCCTTTTCTGCCAACGTTCTCAAAGCCATCCGGATACATTAACATTGAGACCACGACCTGTTTTGTACCCTTGATACTGACTGTGAGCTTGTATTCCTCGTCTGGTAGGTAGCAGATGTAGTCTTTGAAGATCATGGGACCATCGCATCACCTTGCCACTCCTCCTTGAGCATTGCGGCGGTCTAATTGGCTACATCAGTGCCGGAATCTCGTGGTGATTACTCGTACTATGTTCTTTGAGGTAGTTTTCGCAGTTAAACGCAATATAGCCACTGTACGGGTCCATCTACTAATATCAAAAGTCTGAATTAAAATTCGATGCAATCTAGTAAAACCATGCACACGTACCTTAGCTAACTGATAGGTAGTTGGATCAGGTTGTTGATGAGTCGAGCCTTTTTCGCTGAATTCTCACAGGAGATCATTAAGCTCGACTAACACGTGTAAGGTAAACTTTTCAATCCTGCTCATAATAAAGTTGTTGTTCAGCACATACTGGACCTCTTTGTTCTTGCTCTATCCATTCCAGATCATTTTAAGCTACATATTTTGATTAATCATCGCTCAGCATCACCCTCTCATCGAGTGTTCGGTTCAGCCTCTAAAGAAAGATCAAAAATCTGGCCTTGGGAAAGAAGTAAGTTCGGAAGATCTTCAAACGGTGGAAGTTTTACCGATTCAACATAGGTGTGTATACGACAGTTATCTTTTCTACTAGAGTAGCAACTTATCAGCTTACGAGCTGGTTTTTCTCGTTATACATCTTTTATTTTGTTTGATGGTATTGTTTAGTTGTAAAATAAATTCCAGCGAGATTATCCCTATATCAATCACCTTTCAGTTCCCGGCTGTCGGTCAAAACGTTTGTGTTTCATCGTTGCCCCCTACTTTCTAATATTTCTATTCCTGTTTGTGGAGTATCACATTTTGGTTGTCACGCTATCTCCGACCATATACTGTAAATTTTGGGTCCATTGTTCAAGCACTGCCCGCTTTTCTCCAAAATGTACTTATAAACTTCGACGACAATTCATAAGTTTTTGAATGGTACGTTTTGCAAACGTTGCACCGCCATTGTTAGTGTATGATTATTACTGGATCACCTGATTTAGATAAATTGTATGGTGGCACCCACATTCCAATTGATTGGCTGGAATTTCGAATGGATAGAACGTCCCACGGAATTTTGATTGGATAGAACGTCCCTCACTTGCAAACATGGTGAAGCTGTACTGCGCAGTCGTTGGTGTGAAGGGAAACACCTTCTCTGTGACGATCGATACAACGAATATGTGAATGACTCAAAAAAGTCCATCGATAAGAAGAAAGAGAACGGTTTGAAGTCGATCGATACACTCAAACTAGAGCTTCCTCGCCACGAGGGGTAACGCGTTGCTAACCAAAAGCGAGATAGAAGATGGAGGAAATGTCATGGTCTGTAACATCTGAGTGCCGCTCGAGTAAACCGCATTGGACTGTCCAATCAACAAGCACTCAGAGAATAAGTGGAAGGAGCAGAAACTGGCCCCGTCAATGTGTTGCTGGTTATTTCCACCGCATGACTACATCCAAATGCAAGCCACAACTCTTTGTAAAGCGATTGTGCTTCAAGCTCCCACGCATGCCTCAACGACACTAACCGGCCGGAACTAAGATCTTCCGGAACTCTCGTTTAAAAGTCGCTCCTGATTACTTTGCAATCGTTCCGTCGCAGCAGCAAATATCAACTACCAACACATGAATTTGCAAGGTTTTGTGGTTTTGGCATCTATTCAAAAATTTCTCAAGAAAAACTCCCCATCAAGTTCATGGACCTCGTGCGTATTGGACCCATCTTGTTCACTTTCTTGAGCTTCTTCACATCATCCGTACTTGATTCGAGCAATGAATTGTCGCTCTTTCTGACAAAACTTAGCGCTATTTCGCACTCAGCGAAGTCACATTCTGCTTCTCATAGATGGTATTCTTCAATTCATCCATAAATTCGTATGCATCGATCGTTACGGATAAGGCATTTCCTTTCAAACCAGCGATTGCGCAGAACAGCTTCACCATGATTTCAATTGCTTTGAAGACATTAGAACATTAAAAAAATATAGACACTGAAAATAAAATTGGTTATCATCTCATAAATGTAAAATCGTGAGGCAAAACACAACGCTGTATTATGATAAAATTTCACGTTTGCATCCAACTCCATCAGATGCATCAGAAATTTGAATGTATTGCTGCTTCTTCATCTCCTTGATTGCCTTGCCAATGGCGTACATTGCTTCGTCATCACCCGGCGCCGTGTAGAAGCGAAGCTGGAGCTGCGCCACTTCGTTCTCCAATGTCTTTCGTTCGCACTCGGCTTTCACATGACTCAGTTCGAGGGCAACATTCTTCACTTCGTCAGTCATAGACTCAATTCGACGCCGCAATTGGTCATTAGTTTGAATTGTCGATAGCAAATCCGTTTGAATTTTTGCACGCTCCTCTTGTACAACAATCTTTTCCTCTTCTAATTGTGCAATGCACAAATTCTTCATTTGCAGATCTTTAAACAGCGAATCAAAAGGCCGGGAGCTTAGCGTTGAAATTGTTTCGTTCAATTTCAAATTTTCGCTTCGTAAAACATGAACTTCGTCCTGAAGGTCGGTCATCTGCGCCGTCTGGTCCGAATACAACTGAAGTTGTTCTTTCTGCCTTGCTAGTTGCTGCTGCACTTCGAATAGTTGCTTTGTTGTTTCCTCTAGACGAAAAGTAGTTTCATGATAAATCGCTGACTTTGCTTGCGCTTTCTTTTCAAGATTGTGGTAGCGAGCCTCCAGCAATTTTATCTGTTGAAACCCCGCATCAACTTTGACCTGCAAGAGCTGCTGGTAACTTTCCACTCCATTCAATTCAACATCTTGAGGCAATATCGCGTCGAATTTTTTGCTGGGTTGACATTGATCAAGCTCTTCTCTGAGAATTTTATTTTCTTTGCTCAGGCGATCTAAGCTAACTTCTAAATCGCGCAAGTGTACTTTAGACACTTGAATCAGCGGATTATCCGCTGGATCAACAAGGGTTGAGCTCGTCGCCAGTGTCTTGCCAGTCCTCTGGTCACTTTCCCCATGTTGAACAATGTGGTTTGGTGACAAAGAAGAAGAGTCTACATTTGTACATTTAGCGCTCTTGCGCTGTGCAGTCTTCTGCATAATGTTTTGCACTTTGCAATGCTTCTTGATGAGACCATTGGAACCAGCACGTTGCACTTTTTCGTCACACTGAACCATGATGTATGGCTTAGCATCTAACACAAGAAGACAACAGCCAAGATATAAAAGACGGACCTGCATGAGCTGCCGTCGCAAGGCTCGCGTCTCTCGGCGCAACGTATTATTCTCATCAATGAGCTGTTTCATAGACAAGTGATTGTTTGGCAACGACAACACATCTTTAACAATAGTCATCGACCTGTGGAAACGCAAAGCGACAACATTTTTGCTTGTATCTACGACAACGGGAACTCGCTAGTCGAGCTCAAACGTACTTGCGTTGAGATTTTTCAACCTCAAACAAACGATTTTTCAGACACGAATTGATCTCTGCCAGTCTCTGCGCTCGTTTTTTCCAGCCCAGCGCAGCGGCGGCTAACGCCTCTTGCGCTATAACCTCCACGGCATCAGACTTGCCAGGCATCTGCTGCGGTATCACCAAGGCTTTATTACTCGAGCAGACGGAGCGCCCGTCGCGGGAGGACATCTTGTCAAGGATAATGAGAGATCGTCTATCGTCAGTTGAAGATGGCAATTTGCAACCCAGCGTCGGAAGCTTAAGGATTCCAAAAGTAAGCAAAATTGTAATTTGTCGATCAGACGACAGCTGATTTCTTTCATCTTTAGACAAAATGAGTGCACTGCTTTAAGTGCCGCTTTATCTTCTATGATCGGCAACTACTGTAACCGTTTTTAGACCTCCATTTAATTCTGGATGATGCCTACATATACGCATGTACACACTCTAGCCATTCTGATGCACCTTTAGACCTTATAGCTACATGTACGTTAGCTCATAGGGCATGGATGTCTTATTGACGTTCCTAATTTGACCCACCAGAAAATTTGGCGCAAAGGTCAGTAGACTTATGATCTTAAACTTGATATATTTGTACAGATCAGTCTGATTGTCAAGTCGTCCAGCCGCACAAATTTTTATCGTAGATACTCTGCGGCCCTGCGATCGGAGTTGGTTGAGTTCATATTAGATGCGTTGGGCGGAAGACGCCAGGGCCTGGCCCAGATTGATATTGTATAAAGAGAGAGCTTTCTGTACAAATAAAATGCCGAACCATACTTGATTTTTCTTTTTTTTATGAGTCTAGGGTTGCGCTGTGCTAACAGTTTTAAATCGTATTTTTAAGGTGAGTTGCCATGCAAGGACGTCAATCCAGAATGAAAATTTTATCACAGACCAGAGAAGTACAGCATCAAAATCGCTGAAGTGAATGTCGCGTGACGAGACATATATGCGCTTGCATACTTGATGATGCCATGACTACTTTTTTTTACCTCTTACAATTTCTTATTGGACTGTCATCCTTTCTTATCTCAATCAGAGAGGCCAAGATCCGTCAAGTAGTATGCGTGCCACTGGGCCATACAGCGTGATTAGGTTTTATCGCCACCTCTGATGGATTGTTGTCCGTTTTGCAAAAGGAGAGCTCATAATGGTCGGAAGATGCTGTCTGCCAGTACGTAGGCTAACTCGTTACAATTATATGATCATGAAGGAAGCACTTAAATTATCAATTCAGTACAGTTACGAGCCGAGCTATAAAAGATAACGCTTTAAGTGCTGCCCGAACCCTACCTGGCCTTAAAAGTAAGTATTTTGTTTAGTCCTCTCGTTTTGCTATTTCCTCTGTAATAGCATTTGACATCAAGTCTTTCCTATAGCAACCAGTTGCCAACCTACCTCACGTTTAAAAGTCATTAAATTAGGATGAATTCGCAGAGCCACTCGAACATGCAAGTCTCGAGGCTGCAGCTGTCGCTACCGCCACAGTCTATCACTCGTCGTGCGACAATTGCTAATGATGGCGAAATTTCTCGCTTTTACACTCCATCTACCACCATCGAGTGCACGCCCTCTGTTAATAACAAGGTGGACGTTCAGATTTTGAAAAAAATGTCTGCTTCGGTCTCACACTTTGAAGGTTCACGGAGAAATCTGAGTTTTCTCGTATCCGTAGAGACACTGATTCCCGGACGCTGCGCGTTTTCAGATGAGCGCCAGTCTTGTCAGCTGGTGGCGCGCTCCTTTGACGACTTTCGCCGTTTCCGCAAGTCGCTTCTCGCCCGCGTCAGCAGCTATTACGACCCTAAATCGCTGCTTTTGGGACATCAAGGAAAGTGCCGATGCGAAGGTGGTAATGGATGCTCCTTTGACGTTACGCGTAGCTTTCTTGACAGGCTTAAATTCACGCGAATGCCATTTTTTAGTCTTAGCAAGAATACAGCTGACTTAACTATGCGCCAGATCGAGATGGACAAATTTCTTCGGATTATCTTTGCCATTTTGCATCGGATGGAGCCTGGTTCGTGGCACCCAGAGTGTCGTTTTTTGCAAGATGTGATGGGTTTTCTTGAAGTGAAAGAGTCGTTTTCTCAACAAATGGAGCTGCTGCTGCGCTCTAAGAACCGATATATGTGCTTAGATGGTTGGAAAGCAAACAATCTTGAAACGTATGGTTCGGGTATCAACGTTTGACTGTGTGAGTTGTCTTGACTTGATTTTACCGAATGATTTTGGGAATGCGAATCACGAATGAAGGAATTCACCACCGACATAGCCACAGAGAGAGACTTGTCGTCTGTCATTATTATATTTATTTAATGGAAAGGGAGTAGCTTACCACAGTAACCAAAATGCGAAAAGAATTTGTCTATTCTATACTTACAAATTCGGCACGTTTCTTTTGCTAAATTGTTCTCAGGAACGGAAATGTCACGTGGCGCAAAAGCTCCATTGGTCCGCCATGCGTCTCCAACAGGATGCGCTGCTCATTACTTCGCACGAAAAAAGATCCAGTAAAACCGATTGAATTCACTTCGATGCCATGGTAACTCTGAGCCTTCCTCGGAATCAGGAATAGAAATGAAGTAGTCAGCAGCAAATTGTAGGCCACAAACAATGATGATGGCTTCGAAGACGTAAGCTCTGGGCTCAAGCGCTCTAGATACTCAACGATCTTGTCATAGATCGCACCAATGTGTTCGGCAGCCTTCTCGCTATTAACATCAGGAACGAGATCGATGCGGTGCAGAAAGTGACAAAATGGAAGCTCCGGCAGCTGAACAATATTAGTGGTCGGATGCTCGTGTAGCTTTTGATGGATGAAGTGCAGCAGCGGCGGCTAGGATAAGAGCTTCGTCAGCTTAGATGAATAAAACTACGACGGACCACTATTCTTACCATGTCGAGCCCCGTGATTGCTCTCAGTGACGGGTACGTCATTAGCTGCATGTGCTTGTGTGGTTGGCTATGAAAAGCGACACCATCAAAGTATTAGAGTCCGATTAGTACATGGCATCACTTTCAGATTGCGCTTTCGAAATCGCTTCGGCCGCACCTAGCACCGCTGTCATAGCCACAATTAAAGAAGGCAAAGGCATCAAGGCCTTGCATGGCAGTCCACATGGCGCGAAAATCAGCAACATCTAGAGATTGTTCTTGTGGAGCAAACTCGATGGTGGACAACACTGTGTGCTTGTCGACAACGCTATACTTGTTAAGCAAAAGATTATGTGTGCCGCACAGCTGCGACACAAACAACTCGTGCTCAAGGCTCTCTTTGGCAAAGGGATCTCGAAAGGCTTCGTCTTTGCCATCCGCCAACTTGGGTTTGCTGAAAGCATCGTTTGCTGTCCACAAAATATAACGGATGCCATAATCTGATGGTGGGAGCAGCTCGTAGGTTGCAGATACTTTCCTAAGCACTTGCGACTGTGTCGCGCGCTCTATGACGGCTAATAAGCACTTGCGCATCAATCAATATTTGTCTCAGCTTGAATACCTCAATTTAGCACCGGTAATGTACTGGTACTAAAAACAGCATATTTGTCGACTGGTTGAAAAGCGTAGCAATGGCAAAGCCGACCGTGATGATCGGTGTGCGCAAGCGCAAATTCCAGCAAGCGCAAAAGGATGCTGTAACAAAAAAACAGCATGTGCATGCAGCGACCATTACGGCAATGGATGTGATTAATAAACTTTTAGCGCCCGGAGGGGATGTGGGCTACGAAGTGACGGACGGTGAATGGGAACACTTAGTGCAGCTGACGCAGAAGCACGCGCTCTTCGAGCGGAACTTTTGCTTCCCAGAAAATGTACCCGGATGGGTTTCTACCAGCAGTCAGAAGAAGAAGTCACATTTTAAGGTTGTGGCTATTGATTGCGAGATGTGCGTCACGCGGCCAGAGGGGTCAAGAGAGCGCATGTCCAACGCACTTTGTCGCGTCTCGGCCGTCGACGGCGAGAATATGCTCCGCAATATCATTTCGGACTTCTTGATACACCAACCCGAGCCCGGCTATCACATGGTGGACACTAAAACAGATATTCACGGTATCACACCCGAGCAGATTGCCGGTTGCAAGATCACCATGGCTCAAGCACAGAAAAAAATGCTCAAATATATAAATGAGGATACAATCGTGGTAGGCCACTCAGTTCATGGCGATCTAACCAGCATGCGCATCAGGCACCGTCGCGTGATTGATACAGCACTCATATTCCAGCGTAAAGGAGAAAATTCTACCCGTGCAACGCCTGGTTTAAAGGATCTCACCAAGTTTCTGCTCGGCTTTGACATGCCCCAGGGCCACGATAGCACTGTCGATGCACAAGCTTCAATGCTAGCTGCCAAATATGCTGCTCGACATCAAACGGGAAGTATCATACCGTCAGCAGTGGAGCTGCATGGACCTCGTGTCAAGGAGCCTCGCCAAGTTCTCACTCGCTCTTCAAATTTTTTAAAAATGACGGAATATACAGGTCCGGCTATGCTTATTGCATCGGCTTACCAACCTAAGCACGCAACCGGCGCAATTGAGCTAGCAGCAAACGTTGCGTCTCACATCGACATGGCTGCAAACAACACGGACGATACCAATAAATTTAAAGAGATAGTTGCACGATCCTGCCGTCTGCGCGTACACCGAATACCGAAGGGCCTTTCTAGCAAAGACATTGAAAAGTGGTTTTTAGAGAACACTAACATCGTTCCATTGATCGTGGAACAGATTGCATGGCTACCAAATCAAAATCGCGGCTCTTGTAACGTAACTTTCTCGACTAATGCTCACGCAGCATTGGCCTTTGAAAGCGCTTCGGGACCCAATGGTAAATCCAAAATTACATTAGATTCTATTGGACGTCCACAAAAAACAATCGCGATTGTGAGCTACATGGGAACGACATTCAAAAATGTGGTTCTCGGGGTTCAATAGTTTCGATCGACAATGCGTGAGCGACGAATTATATTCAACTTACAACATGTTGAATCAGCTAAAGAATTTAAATCATACCATTATGTTTCAGCTGTTGCTGGTTTAATATTTTTAGGATCTAAGACATCCATATTGATCGAAGAAGCCAAAAGCAGTTTTTTCTTTGTTTCTGCAGCTCGCTTAAAGAACTTGGCATCCTTCTTTGCAGCGTGTCGGCGTTGCTCGTCAGAATACTGCTGTTCTTGTTGAAGTTTGAAAATTTCTCTCTTTTCCTTCTCTATCAGCCAGCTTTGTAGTTTCGTTTGTTTCTCAATCGCTTTTCTTGATACTTCCAGTTCTCTTTCAATATTTTTAACAGATGAGGACTGCGTATCGTATCTCCATCCACCCCCGCTTCCATTTCCGTCAATTGAGCGGCCTCTTACGCGATAGCTTAAATCCGATTTGGCTGCTACCATGGCAGGTAAAATTTCAGGGGGTGTCAACGACCCAGACGATCGAAGCTTCATACCTGCAAATTAAAGGTGCGATCAATCGAAAAAACAGATAAAAGATCTGGGATTGCTCATTGTTTATCGTACAGGAACGAATTCTCATACTTTCACCACCGCCAGATACCCTGCCATTAGTGATTTGCGGTGAGTGAGAGATCGATGTTGGCGGGTAATGAGGTACGACCTGCACTTCCTGAAAAAGTCTGCAATGGATCGTTTTGAGTTCTTCTTCTTCGATTTCATATCTGAAAAAGCGATCTGAAGCGTCTTTCAGCTGGCGAAAGACATTCTCCAGATTCTGCGCAATATTTGTGTAAGGACAGACTTTGAGATAAGTATTAAATCTGTTTGCACTACCTGCTTTGCCTGTACCAATTGAGAATCAGTGGGCGAGCTGAATAAAACAGATTTTTCTTGATGTGATTGCTGTAGTCCAAGACTTTCGATTTCTTTTTGCTGTTTTTTTATTTGGTGCTTGAGTTCAGTATTTTCGTAGACCAACTGAACGACCCTAGCTTTCAATCTATCGACTTCTTCCTTTTTTTCGTGACCACTATTATTGTCGCTACTATCGATCTCATCTTCAAAACTGTGTTCATTTGATTCGTCTGTTTGTCGAAATAGCCTAAGAACCTCTCGCAACTGCTCCAGTTCATCCTGAAGTTTTTCCACATATGCTGGATCAATCTCTCGCTGTTCATTTACGCGAACCGTAACCATTACTTTCTTGGCTCGATCAGCGAATTTGAGCGTGGATATGGATTCATCCACACAATCCAGTGATGGTGACAGTGTTGCTATGATCTTCGTTTTTGTGTTACCCCCCAGACTGTCTTGAAGTAGTCTCGTTAACTTTGAATCACGATATGGTACATGAGTGGAACCTTTTGTAGATTTGCTAGACAGCGAGGCAATGCATCTTCCAAGAGTATGTAAGCTAAGGTTTATATTGGTCATCTCAGTAATGTGATTTTCTTGCATGTCGGTGTTTAGATTCCACTTCTCCGACCCAGCAAGATCGACTAAATTAAATTTCGATTTTAAAACTGTTCCATCCTTCCGTCTCTGCTCGAGGAGTAGTTGGAAGACGCTGTGGCTCCGACTACTTACTTGGTTCATGTGGGTAGAACGCACAGCACGATTTTGCTCCCCGGATTGCAGCAGCTGAAGGCAGTCACTAACTCCCTTTACTGCGTATTCAGACAAACCTTCAACGTATATTCCATGTTTACGGTCTTCGTGAATTTCTAAAGGTGTAGCCATTTGAGTATCCCGTAAAAGATCAAATATTTGCTCATTGTAAACTTGTGCAAACGAACAAAATATCGATGCTTGAGCATCCTCTTCCATGCGGACAGTAGCTGCAAAAAGTGCCTTGATTGCCCGCGGAATGATTCCAGCTTGGCTGTTCTGAAGCCCTGGTCTGTACCGTGATAGATCCGTCTCAGCGCCAAACATTGTAAAAGATTTGCCACTCCCAGTTTGCCCATAAGCGAAAAGCGTTGAGTTAAATCCTTGAAGAAACGATTCAGTGCATTCGTGAACTCGGTTGTATACTTGCTCTTGAGAAAATGTGTGATCAAAGACGGCATCATACGCGCATTTAATAGTGGAATCGGACGTACGTACTTCAATGGTCTAAACAAGGAGTGAAACAAAAAGCTCTCATTATTGCTCATTTATATATTGCTAGCACTTGGTAAACAAACCTGGTGATCAGTTGCACTGATAGAGTGATATCCTGAATATCGCGCTTGAGAAATTTCGCGCTCAATTAATGGACGAATGCGTACGAATACTTGGATATTTTCAGAGCTTTGTCTCCGTTGAGCGGCTATAGCTTGAGAAGACTCACGAATCGGTTCCGAAAGTAAAGTAGATTCCGTGTCTGGCACGAAAGTTTTGCTGACCATCAAAGTATTTCGTTTATGATCACGTGTACGATAGCTTCCTTTCGTGGACGTCGTAGCTAGACCGCCTCGACCTGAATCAGTAGATAACGGCAGTACTTCTTTATTGATCAGCTGACATAAATGAGAAACGCTTTGGTCGGACCACGATTGGCCACACGGGCAAGTGGTCTGGGTAAGCTTCTGCGGCTCCGGAATCGCTCTTGAATTAGCAGCCATTTAAGTACCGGTCGTTGTCCTACGTGGCCCACACATCCAAGTTTTAGCTCCACCAATTCTTTGTAAAAAAAATATCAAGAAATGGTCGCTTGGGATGGCGTACTAGCTCTATTGCAGTGGCAGCATATTCGTCATGGCAAGATGGATGATGCTGCATTGCTACAAACTGGCATAAAGTTGCTGCAACCTGACAATAATGCGCAATATGGTTTAGAGAGCGCGATAAATCGTGCCGAACGCGCCTTCAACTTACCCTGGCAACGAATAGCCTCAGAAGTTTTGCAGTTTGCATTATATGTAGTCACGAAATCCAAGCAGAACGATGAATACCCGATACATCAAGCGCTGCGGTTGCTGCAGATGTCACTAAATGTTTTTGCCATCAGAGGTGATACACAACTAACTTCTTTATCACTGAATTCATGCAATCTGCTGCTTTCGGCGCTGGCTGAAATTCTGGAGGATGTCCAGCATGATGAAAACTCATTGCAGACACTACAAGATGTCACATCTGTTTTTTGCTTCCTTTTTGGATTCCCTACTGGTAGCTTCCAATTGTATCGCCCACCCACGAATGTATATGCGGAATTTCTTAGACGAGCGCTAACGGCGCTTTTTCAGGCTTTAACGTATTCTGAGAAAAATTGCCAAACAGCACTCAAGATGCAGCATCAACAGACTTACGTGAAACTGGTGCATGCGACACTGTTCGTGTTTCAAAAGCTGCAGAAAACGCAATCAAACAAGAAGAAGGTTTTTTCAGCCATTGCCAAGACTTCCCTAAAAGACTTTGTGTCTTATCGTCACGCTCTTTTGACATTTCATAAGATGAAAATTATTGGTGTGGAAGCGGTAGTGGCATTACTGGATGATATTGTGGACGACGCATTATTTAGTATTGAGCATATTTGTCAATATCATAGCGCTATGGTGTATTGTGCCATTTGGAAGACGGAGAGAAACAAAAATAATGAGACACATGATAAACTGAACAAGACAGCAACAAGGAAACGCCGGATAGCAAGTGGATCAAAGGCGACGTTGGGATTAATCTCGTATCAAAAGAACCTTTTTGATGGACTATTCAATTTACTATTGGATCAAGATTTACCGCAGGGGCTAAAAAAATCAGTAGGCGAGTTCTTTAACATGCTTGTACATAAATTTACCATTCGTATTCGTGCTGCCGCCACAACGAAGATCGAGGATACCAAAACGGACTTGAAGACAAGTCGAAAGCGCACAGCTGTTGTCATTGCCGCCACATCAACCGATCAATCCCCCTTAAAATTTTGGTGTGAGCTCAATGCCGTGGCATATTCAGCTTTTCAACGCGCTACAATAAAGCAGGATTTTCTCCCAGTCCTGGTTTCCATTTTCAATGCGTTGTTTCGTGCACTATGTGAATGTGATTTGTACCGTGTGACGGAAGATACAGAAGAGCGTGAGCACTTTTGCACAATGGAGAAAGTGCTTATTTCGTTTATAGAGGTGCTGAATATTGAGCATGAGGGTGAGATCACCAAATGTGTTACTCGAGCTTCAGAAGAATGTGAAATTGTCTCCAACGCTGCACGATGCTCACCGAATCTTTTCAACAATTGTCTAGTAGCAATTTTCGAGCTGCTAGGAGTACAAGCGGGCAGAATTTTTTTGCTGACAGAAAATGAATGTACCAAACGATATTTATCGGCAGTGAGCAATGCAATGGTAGAGCTGATTCACGCCTATTTCTCAATGCGTCGTTTAGATGTGTTTTTGAAGTCAGCTTTCACTATTCAGCGAGCACACGAAGGATTATACAAATTGTTGATGCTACCTTCCTGTGATCTCGCTTTACGTAAAGCATTTATTGCCCTGCCACCAGGTCAAATGGACGTACTTTGGAACGTATGTGTCAAGCGGATTGCTTCATTCGCATCGTCCGAAGATGGTGGTCAAAGTGTCCATGCTGTTGCTATTGCTCGTCTGCTATTTCAGACATATCTTCAAGAATTTTACGTGGTGTCGCAGTACCGCTCAAAAATTTCCGGACTTATATATGAGACTTACACCCAACTCTTTCCTGAGATCGTTGAGAAACTGGATAGCTTTGCAAAACCATTAACTTTCTATCAGCGCGAGCTCTTTTGTATTCTTGGGGAGCTCACGACATTTGTTTCTACTTTAGATGCTTGGGTTCGTGAAAAAACGTTTGACCGCATGTTTTCCAAGCTGCATGATGATCGATTTAGCGAAGTGATGAAACAGCTTCTGAGCATTGATTCATCAGGCCATAAGAATGAGAAATGTGGTAAACTAAGTAAACTTTCTGATGGCAAAGTATGCATGATTAGCTCTGGCCATGGACCTGCTGCTCTCGGGTTTGTTAAACTCTGTGTGTTTTGGCTACGTAGAATGGATGTCTGGGGCAAAAGAGCAAATTCTGCTGCTCAGGTAGCCTGCGAAAGTCGAGAGATTGTGAACCGGCTGTTAGTGAAGTATGTCATTCACTGGAAGTGCTGGGAAGCCGTGAGCTTCTATCTGCCGGAGCTGATGGCGAATGGTGGCAACAACGAGTGTGATTACTTTTTCCGTGAAATTATTAAAAGTTTTATCAGTGAAGTAGGAGAAAAAAAGCTTGATGGGTCCGCCGGGCGAATTCTTTGCGATGCTGGATTTTATGAAATTGCAACTCTACAGAAGGTTGCGCCCGAGTCGCTAAATACAATCGTTCTGGAATTTGTGGACAGAGTGAAAAGTGCATCATTAAATTGTGTAAAAGACGCACTTATTTTTTTTGAATTCGTATCAAGTTTCCCAGTGAATTATCTTAAACCGGAAGATTGCGGCAACTTGCTCGTGGCAGTATTAAAACTTTACGAAGCTATTAGCACGCCTGAATGCAAAGCGTTACCTAGCAAGCCAGAATTATGTCAGGCCATGCTAACTTGGATTCAGCTGCACTTTAAACTTGTTGGCAAGAAAATCTACCGGGCATTTCCAGCGCTTGTCGAGCAGCTACATAAAGGGAGTCGCTTAATTTTTATTCACCTTGAAGCTGACGATTCTATAAGCGTATCTTTAATTTCGGAGGTGCTAGGATATTGTTTGGATATCGGGGCCCAAGTAGTTGTCGATGAGCTGTTGAATAGTGTTGTGATCAAAAACTTTGAGACAGAAGATTATACAACGATGACAGGGAAAGTGAAGCGTGCTGCAATGGTTGTCGAAGCGCTTGTTGCGTACCGAAGTACGACTCTATCAGATATTTCTGTAGAAGAGAAGAAGTTTGTTGAGAAATTCGTGGAATTTGTAACCCAAGATAGAGTATGCGAGATGGAAAGCCCAATGTCATACACAGTACTCGCTGCTCTCATCAAGTATCAGTCATTTCTTCATAAGAAAGCTCGCTGTCATAAATATCAGCCGTCAACTCCCCTTCATAGTCCGCTATTATCATTGCTTGTAAAGAACGTTGGAAAAGCTTTGGCGGCTTCAAGAATGCTTGTTAAAACTGATCTACGGGACAGTATGGAGTCTCAAAGCGCTGCTTGGTTGTTTTTTGCAAGCTTCTGCAAAGAGTACGCCTCGTTTCGGACGTTCTTGCCTCCTTTGAAGACTTTTGGATATTTAACAGCCATTTCGCTCTCACTTGTAACACGTGATTGTCCTGATGTGAAGATGGAGCAGGCTTTGCTAGATGTGATTACTAATGCGAACACAGATGAACTCTCTTTACTGTTGTCGACAATTTTGCACGAGCTTGTAGCGCATGAAAATCGACGGAAGCTGAATGCTCTGCGTGCCATGTGCCTGCTGTTAAGTGGTGATCGAAAAATCAATGCCTCGCGTCGGCTGTTGTTAAATGAACGCAAAGATATGATCGTTGAGGCCTTGCTACAGAATTTTGCTGTTCATTTGATGCACGATAATGTTGTCCATGCAGATCCTACTATAGATGCTAAGACGCTGTGCATTTGGAATCTGAAGTCCTTTGTGCTTGTTTTCTGCAAGCCAGAGCTTTTTACATGGAACAGTTATGAGTTTCCGCATGTTATCACAGCATTCCAGCCGCTTGTTGTGGCTGTATCGTGTTGGGAAGCCGGAAACAATCTTTGTAACGTACAAGAACTTCATGAACTGTGGACAAGTTCGTACACACTACTCCTGCGTGTTGTGCGTCATTACTTCTCGTCCCTGGCAGATGGCATCCACCATCTTGTTCAGGCAGCAAACGCTCTTCTTCGTTTGCTTGTGCTATCGTCTGCAAGCTCAGAATATTCAAAATATTGCTCCGACTGGTGCTCAAATCTGGCACGGTTGTACGGTTATATGAAGGAGCACGATGTTCAGCTTCGCAAGCACGTTGTATATCTTCTGATGGCATTTATTCTAAGTGTAACTCGCGATAAGTTACCTGTGCAATACCAGCAAAAGCTACGACCCGGTATCTTTGCCTTGCTAGATGTTTGTTCTCCGTTTGAGAAAGAGCAGCTGTTCGGAGCGTTGGATTCCACCGGAAAATCTCTTTTAAAGACTTTGGACACAAATTACAAGCTAACGCACCGCTACGTAGGCAAAGTGTAAGTATGCACGATGGATATAAGGTGTAAGACTGAATAATTCTACTTCTGTTGGATTTACGCCACACCCCATCGACTTTCACCCGTTTGTTGATTCAAAAAATACGTCCTTCCAGTGGAAGGATCGACACAAGGAATCCACTGCACATTAAACGACACTTGGTTCCTTGTTTCATTGACCCGTTGAAGCGCTACGCCTGTAGACAAATGCCGAGGTGTCATCGACTCTGTTGTAGTAGTCGTTCGACGGCGAAGTCCCTCTAATGAAGCCGTAGAGGCAGTCGAGGCTGTCGATGGACGGTCACTGTAACAACCAACTGTGTCTTCGTGATCGCTCCAGAAAACTGATTCGGAAGCAATGCTTCCAGTACGAAACAACCGGGCGCGTGCCCTGGTTATTGGTGATGTCGAAAGAGATGAGCCGACAGAAGACGTGGGCGATGCTGGCGGGCTTGAGGAGCATCTGGAATACACCGAGTGTTGTGAACGCATGGCAGTTGTGGGAGTTATCGACTTGAAGACTGGTTGAAGAACGTCGTCGTCGCTATCGCTGTCGCTGCTGATAAGTGAAGATACGTCACCGTCGTTATTGTTACGATATCGTTGATGTCGATTAAGTGATGGTGCAATAGCCGAAAGCTGCAGTTCGTGATCTTGCCCACCACGAGCTGCGAGAACATCTGCAAGCGCTTTTGCAGCAGAATCAGTGACTGGTCGACGTACTTGGTCGGCCTTTTTTTTCAATAATAATGACGTTTGTGGAAGCTGTGGTGCAAAAGACGACCTAGTAAGCGAAAGAATGATAAACTGTATTGTTTGCTGGGGTCAAACCGTTTGCAAAAGTGGTGGCGAATATGTTACGTTGCTAAATGGTTTGTGAAAAGTGCGATTCAGCATAGATTCAGCTGTGCTGGAACCGATAGGAGCCTTATCCGCCTGTACCGGACAAATTCAACAGAACGTGGGCTGTGATATTTTAACAAAAGTCAAAGCAATCGATATAAAGAGCCGTACATGCTGCAGAAAAATTTTAAGGATCACAAACGCCAGGCTTCCAATGTGCGTCATTGCTAAGAAGAACGGAGCACGAATCATGGTCCAATGGATTGTCCCACCCTCGGGATTAATAGCCGAATGCCGCAATCTCACGTTAAGCCTTGTGCCGATTGCCCCGCTTAAAGCAACGAAGCTTGTTATGTACAGTGACATGTTGGCTCGTACTCGTGCAGCAAAACAGTGACGGTGCGAAACGCTTGCTGAACCCAGCAAGCAACAGCATTGACAGGAACAGAGCGAGAGCTGAACAAGCACCGCGAAAGAAACACCCAAGGCTGTCATTATTGGTAGAAACACGTACGACGTTGTTAGTGAACTTGATATGTAGGAGCCGTAAAGTGCGAGAGTGAGCTGCTCATTGGTTAAATGATGGTCTATGATTCCACCGAGAATAAAAAATGTGGCGAACGCACAAAGAATGAAGGCCAACTGGTACACGGCACATATCCTCCTTCGTGTGAGTTCTAGCAAAAGTGCAAAACCTAATGCCGTAAGCACTAGAATCGCCCCCAGCAGATCATCAATTATATGGACTCGCCGATGGTTATCGGTCAAGTCAGACGTGCCCATATTGTCACCAAATGAAATTGTTCGCTTATGCTCAATAACTTAGTACAAAAGTGGATAAATTAGCGAGACAATCTATTTGAAATCGACAACTGAATGGCTAAAGATAGAGAAGAATGACCCGTAGAATGTCAAGGCGTATCGTGAATCTGATCTTGAGCTACGACACCTGTCAATGACAAACGAGCGCATATAAGGGCGTTCTAACATTAATCGCCAACATTTAGCCACTTTGAAGATTTTGTAGCCATTCTATATACTTTCTATCGAGTTAACATTTTCAAACGAATATATTTCATCTGACAAAATGCTGCACTCGCTGTATATTATCAACAAGGCTGGCGGACTCGTCTACCAGCAGGATTTGAGTCCCGCAGCGCCCAAACTAAGCTCAAACGATCACTTGCGTCTGGCCTCAACTTTCCACAGTATGCATGCGATCGCTGCGCTGGCTGCGCCAACACACTCGGGTGGTATCGATAGCTTAGAGACAAGCACCTTCCGTCTGCATTGTCTACAGACGCCCACCGGAATCAAGTTCTTTATTACAGCGGCGCTGGGCACGGCCGATCTAGACGTAGCGCTTCAGACAGTCTACGAGCTTTACGTTGACTACGTACTTAAGGTAGTATACCATTGCCCTATGTTGTATGTCTTCGATCTACTTACTAATAAACATTAATTGGCAGAATCCGTTTTATGAGCTGGAGATGCCCATACGCTGCAGCCTATTTAATAATGGTCTTAAGACTTTTGTGGACAAATTTAACCTCGATAGTATTAGGCGTCGTCCCCATACGAGCAGCGGCACTGATGTCTTTTATTGACTATGGAAATGTCAGGAGATAGAATACATTGTATTCGTATTGAGGGCATCCAATGATCGTGCAGGATACACTAACCAAGTGTGAGATAGCAAGCATGATAGAGCAAATAAATAATGGTCACCTATGATATTTTGAATATGTATCATCGTCATTATTGTGTAGCGATGTCTCTAGCACGTTTTAATGACGAATGATGTGTGTGAAAAGTAAAATAAAAGTGGAATAGGCCTCGACTCTTTATTTGAGCTCAATAATTAATATGCATGTGCTGATTAATCGATCTGTCAAGCTAATAATCTTAATTCTTTAATTATCTACATATTGCAAGGTGCGCACGAATGCGCTTTGAACCGAAGGCTTTAAGTCGATGACCAATTCGAAGACCAATTTTCATTCACGTGATTCGTGAGAGCAGCTTCCGCCATTCTTCTTCGTGACTTTGAGGACAATGAGATCTTGTCCACCTCAGTACAGGATAGCAGACAGCTTGTTGTATTATGCTCGACATTTTCCTGTACGCCTGAGCTTCTTCGCTTTGTGATTCAATTTGCGCACGTCACCATCGCACAAATAACGATCCGACAAACTTTGTTTTTTGTCTTTTTCACATGAAGCTCTCCTAAATTTATGACCTCAAGCGTCATCGTCGTGTATATTTCAAGTCAATATGTATGTCTGTAACTTGAGAGCGCTTGGCAGCAAGGGTCACTGCCGCACTAAGTCCTCGACTTGAAGTATCCCCATGCTTTGCCAAATTAATTGCTCATCTGAACATATTCAATGCTAAACATTTAAGTCTGTTATGTATGCGAAATTATGTCATGATGAGACGTCGATGTCAATCTAATAGCTTTACTGCATTTTTGTATCAGCCGTCCATAAATAGCAGTATGGTGGTGTCGGCGACATACTATGTATGATTAGCAAAGCATTGGGTCAACACAGTTACGATAATAAAATAATTAAGTCGTCAGCGTAAATTATAGACCCATTTTGATTAGGTCGACAAGCCAAAAAATAGTCGGAATAGAATCAATGCACTTTTTATTTGTCGCTGGTATCTTGAAAATACCAATATAGCATTACGAAATTTCAGACCAGTATTTTTGCTCGATAAATGCTGAAATTTTTTTAAAATGTTGCAACACGTTTTCGTTGCACCTTGCACCAAGAGAAAGTATTTACTTAGACTTCATCAGCAAATACATAACATACTTTTTATCATAGTAAAATTGTCTACATGCTGCGAGCAACCTATATGTGCCATGTCCTCTTCCGAGTTCCGTAATTTTCATGATATCCGGTGAATATGAATTTTCGCAACTACACAGGTTATACCAACTGTGTAACAGCAAATGCGCATAATTTAGTACTTGTCTCGTTACAACATAGCAGCTGCAAAACTTTGGTGGCTCACAACTAATCTTTCGATACAGAGCACCTTCCGTTCACCAACAAAGACTGCAGACACAGATGGATCATCGTCGAGTAGTTACCAAGCACGAAAATAAAAACAAACATTGTTTTGATGTCTTCATACGAATATAGAGAAAGACATAGGAGCACTAATCAAATTTGCCATAAGGAGAAAGCGGCATTCACGTAAATGACTTTGCCCAGTCCTGGATCGAGTTGTAGGTGATAGGATGGTTTTTTTGGAGTTGCACCCAATACCCTATTTATTGGCTATTTGTTCAAATAGAGATAACCACTTTGTTCGATGATTGTTCTCTAAAGTGGTTGTCGAGCCTGGTGTTGTCTTTGTCGCTCTTTTTCTACAGATCATTCAATCCAGATGATCAGAACCAAGGAGTCAATATACTCTTCAAGAAGGAGCTAACGGAGGTAGGCAAATCGCTGCTATCACGACACTATCTGTTTGGAAAGAAAAGCATGACTCCTCGACGACCTTTCATCCCCAGACTATGACGCCACACACATCAAGCTGCGAACGGAGAAGCTTAGTTTTTTTCGAAAAAGGCCACGTATTTTGAAGACCAGGCTCGCACATGCAACAACCCAATTGAATCGTACTTCTCCACCAACAAGCACTTAAAAACAGTTTTTTTCGATGCGAAGATCACACAAGTCGAAGTAGAGCTACTCAATTTCGTTCGGAACACAAATGTGCTGGATTGGCCTTGACCGTGTGGATGGAGCAAGAGGAGGTAGAGTCGGCTGTTAATGAAGAGACTCTCTGCGAGTCTGTGCTCAAGAAAGCAGGATAAGCCGACATGAACGGGTTCGCACTCACGTTTAAACCACGAAACAAATTTAATCAAAATTGTTATTTGTATACTACTTGCTATTTATAAAATGGGCTGGTGAGTGCGTCGTTTGTGTTCACTTTCAAGGGTTAAATGCATTCACGAAAGTATGCACTAAGAGTGCCGAACAAATTTGAGCTAAACCTCCGACCGTTACTGCACGTGCAAAATCAATTTTGCGCCTTTTTGAACTTCGTGTTCCTGATTTAGAATGTTCCGGCAACGCGTTTATCACTTCTTCATGGATTCCCACAAGATATTCGCCCTTCATGACCAATGCTGCACCAGAATCACCGGCGAAGGTAGCACACCAATATAGCAAGTGACTTTGATCACTGCTTACTGTAACGCCAGATGCCGGAGTGAATCCAACTTCGTTCTGGTACATTAATTGATATGGATCCATATCAATTCGGAACGATGCCAAAACCAGATTACACCCTCGCAAGTTGACCGGATTTCCAGGCCATGGCTTCATAAAAGGCCGTTGATGGTTTGATTGCAGAATGGCGAAGTCCAAACCAGTATTACGATAGACTACGCGAAGCTGGATAACCACTTCTTGGTCATTATTTGTTGCTCGTACACTCACTGTACTGTTTACAACTTGTGATGCCGTCAAATTATGACTACTTGTTACAGCAAGGTTGCCACGAAAAAAACACCCATTGCAATAGCCTTGTTGGCATTTGCTGTATCCATAATGCGAAAAATGGAATTCTTGACATTGCGTTGAATACTGGGTTCGATGAAGTAGGAAGGATTCATATCGTATTGCTTCGGAACCACAACTAACAGAGCATGAGCTTCATCTGCTCCAAGACTAAGACCATCTTCATTCTCTGCTTCCTCGCTTTCTTCCAACGAACGCGAAGAGTTGAGACTGGTGGGATTATCCGCAGTATTCGCATTCAGTGCTGCCGTGTTGGTGTAGACGAGCAGTTGGGCGGGAACAATTCCTTGAAGAATGCCAGCGTTTTTCGCATGTACAGCATCTCTTAAGCGACGTATCGTACTCGAAGGAGAGAGATCAACTGCATCAGCATTTGTTTCCTTGTACGCCACACCGTCCTGATCGACAAGACGAAACCATACTTCTCGTTCCTCCATCGCGCTTTTATGAAGAATGAAGACTACAATGGAGAATAGGAAGCCGATTTAAACAGGATAAGTACTCGGTAGCGTTTTGTAAGACGATATTTTCTATATTATAACAGAGAGATGACATCCAATATGAGTTCAATAATCTTGAAAGTCTTCGAAAAGAATTTAAAAAAACTCTGGTATCCAGAAGCTCTTCGTATGATAGTTAGAAGTCCAAGCTTCTCTGGTAATCTAGCTTTTCATATAGTACAAAAGTCTCTACACGTCTATAAACACTACAGCCCGCAACCCTGGTCAAGAATTATACGATTACACCAAAGAGAGTTTTCAAGGTTTTGTGACGTTTTATGATCCCGATGCTCCTACAAGTGTCGACGCTATCAAAGAGATCTCAGATGCTTTATAACTTGACATATTAATGATCATTGTGATGATAATAAGCTTTAAAGATTTATTATTTGTTAATTTTTTTCTTTGTATGATGACTTTAACTTTCATAGCTTGAACTCAATGTGCTACGATTAGATTATCTAAAGCTATTTGTAAAAAATATTAAAATGCAAAATAATATTTATAGATATTTTAATTAAAGGCTTGGGTTACGAAACACAAATATATGTTTCGCTCAAATTGGATCATCTAAATATCAATTTCCGCTGTTGATATTGGTTGAATGTTTATACCGACATCAGCTCCAGAAAAATAATAATCTCTTCATCATTCTTCTGGTTATTAACGATTTTCTTCATAGATAAATAAATTTTTAACATTAATCAGACGGTTGTAATCAATTAGAAGGTTCCTTTCTGCTGGATCTACAATGTCTTTACGAATACAATTGAGGCTATTCGATTGAATTATAACTTTATTAGCGTTTCAGTTCATAGCTTTTAGAGTAGCCTCGTCAGTGTTGCTTTTAGACTCTGGATTCTTGACAGCAATTTCATGATTAATAGTTTCATTGTCCAATTAGCATTCACGGCATTATTATCTCATTTTATTTTTGACGCCACTTTACATGAGTTTGTGTACGAGGAAAAAGATAATCAAGACGATTATATTTTAGTAAACATTGTTGCATATTGAACATTGTTGCATATAATATATGCAACAATGTTTACTAAAATATAATCTTGAAAGGATGTTACCACCAGATATTACCAGATATTATCTGGTGGTAACATCCTTTCAAAATTTTCGAAATTTTCAGCTCATTCTAAATTTTAGTCATGTACCATTCCTATTTTAACAGCGCGAGAATAGCCACTGACGCGCGGTACTTTGGTTGAAGCGGCGTTTCCCGTCTGGACGGAGCTGAAGCTGCAGCTTTAACGAGTGTTCTTGCCCCCGTGTGCGATCTCATTTCCTTGCCGCCCGACAGGGCAAGAAGGAATTGGTGGACTTTGTCCAAGAGTTGCAAACTCTCACTGTCGAGATGGCAGCCGATCCTCTCCCCGAGGCGGTCACAAGGATCATCTTTATGGAGGCCCTCCGCACTGGCGTGGCCAGAATGGAAGTCTTCCGTGTGCATCCGTCTTCTTTTCACGAAGCGGTGAATGTGGCATTGAATGCCGAATACAACTTTAAGTCGGTACGACTTGGTTGAGATGCAAACCGTAGTAGCTGTTGAACGGGCCTGATCCAATGGATCTCAGCTATGCTGAGAAAGAGGAGACAGAGCTCCGAGCTGCCGAGCAGTGTCCAAACACCCGACGGTGTTTCGTCTGTGGAGACACCCGTCACCTTTGGACTGGTTGTCCCTGCACAAGGCGCATCAAGGCTCATCGAACTGATGTCCCGCTTCTCACCAGTCTTATGGTTTGTGGTGGGGATACATTAACACCTTAAAGGCGCGTGGGTGCCCTACCGGGGAAGACCTGAGTTCTGTTGAGCCTCAAAAAGGTAGAGGGCAGCAGGGCCCAGCCCCGAAGAGCTCTGTGTCCTTGAACACGGAGTATGTATGCAAGAGCCGAGGGCCCTTGTGGACCTCGGTGTCAAGTTCCTTGACTTTGATAGCTTGGAACGCTGCTTAGTGTTAGACTTGGATACAAGGTATGACCTCATCCTTAAAATAGCATGGTTGGAACACCCTGAGCCATGGATCGATTGGAGGTCGGAGACCTTGGGCGCAACGCGCACGTCTCGTGGTGGAGTTTCGGTGAGTCATGATCCCACCTCTGCCAAAAAGCAGAAGAGCAATTGGCGTGAGGATCGGACCGGGACGGTCAATGTGCTGGATATCGGAGTAACCAATATGTCAAATACCAAAGGTGTATTAGACAAGAATCCCGAGCATGGCTCGTGGGCTGAACGTGGGGTGGCGCGTAACCCGCAGAGCACTGCTCAAGTAACAAAGCAGTTGCTGCATGCCAATTGTGACATGGTCGACCAAGGGCCGAGGCATCGATGGCGAGCCCCAAGTGATGCATGTGAAGTGGCACATAACCCACTGAGTGCTGCTCAGGTAACGAAGCAGTCGCTGCATGCCAAAAGTGGCATGATCGGACGAGCTTTGAGGCATCTTGGGTAAGGCCCTACTGATGCGCGTGGAGTGCTACGATATCCACTGGACGAAGACTGCGGAAAAACAGCTCTTCCCGGATGTTGTTAAAAACATCAAGACTCTGGTGGAGCAGGGAGTGGAGACACTGGACGACGCCGAGTGCGTGTTTCCACTGGTCTCGATGAGACGTAAAAGCCGTATGTTATCTGCATGACGCAGGGCGTCGCCCTGACCTAGGGTGTGTCTACCGTAGACGATAGTGCACAACTATACACACTTGTCAACGGTATGCCGGTAGAGGAAGACGGCGACGTCACCCTCGTCGCTATTTCTACGGTGCTCTTCTTGAGCTGGACGAAATGTCCTTCGAAGAGTTTGGCAATGTCTTGAAGACATGTAATTTAGCCGAGGTGGTCATTATACGACCGAACAAAGAGAGTAATGTGTCTTCGCTTCTGGATGAAGCTGTCCTGGAGGACAAAATAGGAGAGTGCCGAACGCACGAAGTGAATGATTGATACTGAAGGATCCTGAAGGATCCGTACTATTCTATAGAATAGGAATTTCAAGACGTCGTCTCCAAAGACCCGCCTTCGGTCCTACCTCCGGACCTAGGTGTGCGTATAGAGATTGGCCTGGTTCCGGGAACCAAATACTGCGTAACACGCCAATGGCCCCTGCCCAAGGAGCAGTGCGACGTCATTGACGCATTTTTTCGTGCGAAACACGACGCAGGGATGGTACGTGATAGCAAGTCTCCCTATTCGACACCCACGTTTTGTATTCAGAAGCCGAACGGCAAGTTGCGCAGCGTTCATGCTTACAATAAGCTCAATTCTGCCACCATTCCGGCACAGACACCGATTCCCAGAAAGGATGTTCTTCACAACAACATGGTGGGATGTACGAAGTACATTGCACTCGACATGGTCGATGGGTATTACCAATTGCTCATGAGAGCGAGTGATATTCCGCTGACAGCGGT